GATGATGGCAACTCTGGAAAACGGGCTTCCTAAAAAAATTAAGCATCCAGCAACTCTACTCAGACATATAGCTGGAAATTTGAATTTGAAAGGAAGTATAGGAACACTTTATTCTGTATGCCAATTCTATTACAACACATTCACATGCGCCAAAAAGTAAAAATACATGTCCAACCAATTAAATGACCACTATTCTTCTTTTCTTCAGATTTTATTGGGGGCTCTTGTAGCTCTTAGAACATTCCATACATCAATTGTATTTAGCATATTTGTACATATTTTGCCATTATCATTTCCAAAGCATTTTCTTTCTACTTGGGCCCTTGGTATAAGCTCCTCTTTTTTTCTTCTCCTTCCCCCACCCTCGTAAATCCTTGCTCAATTATATATTGTTACTATTATTCTGTGTCTTACACTGGCCCTTGTCTCCCTTCGTTCATCCCCTTGTGGTGGGGAGGGGGGTGGCTACATATCCAACCTTGTGATGGTTGCCCTTTTCTCCCCCTTCCCCCTCCATTACCACTTATTTTTAAATGCAATAAAAATGTTTCAAACTTAATACAACCTTTTCACACCCTGACTTGAGGAAATGGAGAAAAATATCCAAGAATTAGAATTAAACCCTATATAAGATTGTAGGAATTATTCAACCTTTTAAATATAAGACACCTAGAGATATAAGGAGTTAAGCTGGGAGTCAAATTGATGGCTCTTGAACTACAATAGTGATTTTCCATATAGGAGGAAACAGGGCTTGAATCGTTTCCGTGAATGTTATTTTCAGACCTGAGCAAGCAGGAAGGACTGAGAGGTGTGCGTTGGCTGGCAATTAACACCCAAGTACTTGCATCAAGTGATTTCAAGATGTTATATTTGTAAGGTAGTCGAGAGGCGCCAGAAACGAAATCAGTCAAATTAGAGCAAGCAGGCTTTATTGGAGGAGAAAAACCCAGCCTGGACAAAGTCCCACGGTCCACAGTGCCCAGGCCAGGGGTGTCGCGCCCCAGGCTACAAGGGTGGTGCTTATATGGCTAGGGAACATGTGAGTGGGCTGTTTTGAGTCCATATAAGGTAAAGTAGTCAGGGATGGGGAGATACAGGTATGTCCGGGTTTTTGGAATGTAACGTGTCTTCCTGGTTCCGGGTGTATTTGTGCCAGGTGCAGAGCGGTGGGTCGAGAACAAAGTGGGCACTGA